TGGGGAAGCTGTTGCAAGTATACTGTAAATGAATATAGTACACCTACTGGGATATCTTCTAGTCATTTGTATTTACATCCATGTTTGTTTAGATGTGTCTGCTTCCTTCCATTCGTCTTTATAGTAGGGGAGACACCACTGAGCTAGATCAGCGGACACATCTTAAAGACGAATGATAGGGAGGCCCAACAGGTCAATATTTTGAAACAATACAAGAGAGATTGCCCTGCATCTGTCATCCCCACCAAAGCTCAGGGGCCTTTGTGGAAGAGGTGACAGGAAGTTAGTAAGAGCCAGAGGAAGTGGTGGAGTGTGACCCAGAAGTTCCTCTGACCCTATGATGACACGCGATGGTCCTACCTCCTTCCCAAGCCCATTTCCTCTGTCATCCAATTGGTTGGTCATAGCTGCATAAAGGGGATGGGCTATGGATATATAAGCCAGGAAGACCATGAGGCCAGTCTCTTGCCATTTTGTGTGGCTGTTGGGAAAGCACAGGGTTTATGTTTGGGTGTGGAATTTTGAGGACGGCTGTGAATGGGGTAGTCACCATTTTTGGAACAGAGCACAGAGACCTTGGGAGGGATGGTGCATGCCTCAAACACGGGAAAGAAAAGCCCATGTGAATCCATCTCGGTAAGTCACCCCCATTCCCAGATGTCACATAAACTATTGAAAACCCAAATAGAATATACTATGTCAGTTTTGTCAATCCATGTCAGGACCTTGAGACCCTGAGTAAGGGTGGGTTTCCCAGTGGGGAGAAGAAAATTTAGTGAAACATCCATGAATATGTGAGCAGCACAAATTAAAGTCAATGAGTTATTAAAGTTTTTAAAAAGTGGGGGCTGGAGAGATGGCTCAGTGGTTAAGAGCACTGGCTGCTCTTGTAGAGAAACAGGGTTTATTTCCCAGCACCCACATGGCAACTAACAATCATCCATAAATCCAGTTCCAGTGAATCTGATGAACTCTTCTGGCCTCTGTAGGCACCAGCCACACATGTGGTGCATTTACATACATGCATGCACAATACTCATATACATAAATTTTTTAAGATTAAAAAGTATATTTAAAAAGAGGATATGAAGTTAGGAGTACAGGGAGGTAGGGGTGAACCTGGGAGGAGATAAAGCTTTTGGGAATATGATCAAAATGCACTGTATGAAATTCTCAAAGTATTAGTAAAAATATTTATTTTAAAAATTACCCAATACAAATAAGCCTAGAGCCCCAAAATGGACCCATATGGGTTCATTTATAGCATGCAATAATAAATGCAGATCACTGAGAAAAAGTGGTTACAGTTACAACAAAAAGCCCAGAGATACATACCCACATTTGTTCTTAAATTTGTTTAAACCAAACACAAAGGACAGTTAACACACAATCCAAACACAGAAGTCAATCACAGATAAACCTACACATAGGTTTATGTGTAGAAATCAAAACAATTACACTTTGAGGAGTGTCTAAGCTTTTGACATTGAACACTGTTGTCTACAATGCTCATGCTTGGCAACCTCGAGTTAGGAAAAAAATCACACACAAAAAAATCTCATAATGCTTTAAGTAAGTTTATAATTTCGCATTGGACCACATTCAATTGCTATCCTGATCACATTCATAGCCAACCATCAGCTGTGAGCTAGACACGCAAGTGAGATGAAAATACAGGTAAATGTCTTTATGATTTCAGGATGGGATAGGATTTCTCAAATTAAAATATGTACCAATATAAGAGAAGACATAAAAAATTAACTATAAAAGTTAACTCTGAGAAGATACTATAGAGAAAATGGGGAAGGGAGTTCTGAGAGTTATCATTGAGCCTGCTGGCTGACCTCTAAACTCATGTTCCCCTGTGAAAACAGACACACATCTTCCAATCTTCTTTGCAGTTACATACTATGTGGACAAATGATTGAGCTCTGGACAACTGTGTTATGGAAAAAGTAGCATGCACCACTTCTAACCTTGATTTATAAAACTTCTGAATATGATTCTCTAGACTTTTTCCCCCTTCTTTCTGGCTGGATTAAGGAGATATGACCCAAAGAAAATATTAGGAGCCATATCTAAAGACAGTCAATAAACACAAAGACCTAATTAAATCACTGGTTAGAAGTGAAAAACCCAAATAATACTCACATTGCATTGTTACATAAATTAACAATAAATTAAAGCACATACATTTGGGGATTATGTATAATGGAGGCTAAATTTCTGTTAAATAACATAATAACGAACTATTAGTATCCAAAAATAAAGAACTTTGATAAAAGAATAATATCTTAGCTAAAATATGGAGTTGGGCATGGCTTCACACACATGTAATCCTAGTACCTGGGAGGCTATCTTGTGTTCATGAGATAAAACAGGAGGTGGGCATAAGACACAAGTATTTCAAAAATACAAAGTGAAACTAAAATGGCTATTATTTTTCCCTTTTAAGAAAGCAGCAGAAGCAGGGGCTGAGATGGACGTCACTGGTAGCCACAAATCAATCTTACCAAATACAAAAGAATCATAATAACCTTTTGTACTCCCATCTGATCATAATGCAATCAAACTCAAAATCAGTAACAGGAAAAACTGCAGAAATTACATAAATACTTGGAGACCGAACAATGCCCTTTGGAAGTGAAAAAATGAGGGAGGAGTTTAGAAAGTTTTTATAATCAAATCAAAATGAAAGCACAATGTACTAGAAACTTTGGTACTCAGCTAAGGCAATTCTAAGAGGTAAGTTTATGAGTACTTACATCCCAAACAAGGCAATTCTAAGAGGTAAGTTTATGAGTACTTACATCCCAAACTTAGGTCTCAAAGAACTAACCTAATGGGTCACTTCAAGATTAGAAAATAATGCTTAATACTGAAAATAAGTATATGAAGGAACATAGACAAATGTTATTAACACAGTGAGTTAATTTGCTAAACTGTAGGCAACTATAAATATTAATATACCATTTCTATGAATGATGAAACTAAACTTAGCATTCCTCATAAATGTGTATGTTATAAAACTTTAAAAATAATCCAAATAATGGTTTCATGGTTATGACTGATGAAATAATCAAGATGCTAGGTCAAGAAAGAATAAACACATAAATTTAAGCCTTTAGTACTCTTCAAATTGTTGGACGAATTGGTAGTACAAGATATTTACTGAAATAAACAAATAATGTAACTAAGTTATCCTGTGCATAAGATATAATATTGTATCATGATGCAAAGGTTTTGATTAATCCAATTCAATGAACATGATGAAAAAAAACTACAATACAATGTAACACAAAACTACTGTCTTTAGGTTGAGTTAGCAAGAAAAGCTGTGGTGGGTTCAAAAATCGCTGTTGAAGATTCACGAAACAATCACCCAATTTGTGTTAATTCCATTCTGGAAGTTAACTGTAAGATTTAGAGAACTCCTAATAGGTACCTTAAAACAACAACAACAACAACAAACTCAAAGAAATACAATTTTAAGGACACTGAAATGGGAAATTATTTTGAAGATTATCTAAAAGAGGTATACTGAATATTTTCTCTATATAGACACATACTCATTAATCCTTACAAAATTCTGACATAAATGCTATTAATATCAGCATTTTATTTATTAGTAACTTAGTGCAAAAGGCTAAGAAACTTTTAATGTTTTTTTATCATAAGGAATATTTAGAAAAGTCAAATGATTTGTTCAAATATCATAAGTCAATGCAGTGGCAGAAAAAAGAATAGCAGGTGTTAAGTGCCATATAACACACATTCTGGCAAGCACTTTATGAGATTTACTTTTAGATCCTCTTTCCACTTTATTACCTCATTTTGTTACCTGAAACTAGCCACAACTTCTTATTTGTTCTTCAATAACCAAAAAAAAAAAAAATCACCACAATAACCATTTATTTGCCTTTGAGTTATGTATATATAGGCTATTTGTTCTAAACCCACACAAATCTGCAGTTGCTTACATGCCTTATATAAAATAACATAGTATCTGCATATACAGGATAACCTTTGCTTCCTTTCCTGTGTAATTCAAATCATCTCTTTATTATTTGCCTCTATAAATAGCTGCTACAGTGTTTTATTTAGGGCTCAGTGGTAGTCTTGTCTCTTTTCCTGTTTCTGTGATAAAATTCCCTGTCAAAAGCAACTCAAAGGCAAATGACTTATTTCCACTCATATTGAGGGAACAGTCTATTATGGCAGGGAAGTTAAGGCAGCAGGGGCTTCAAGTCACTCAAGAAGCAAATAACTTGTCCCTTTTTATACAGCCCAGGACCCAAAGTCAGGGAGTGGAGCCTTCACTTTCACTGTGGGTCTTCCCACTCAATTAACCTAATCAACATAATCCCTCACAGGCATGCCGAGAGGCTAAAAAATCCCTCAAAGGCATGCCTGTGTGCTTGTCTCCTAGGTGATTCCAGATCCTGTCAAGATGACAGTCAACACATCACAGTGGATAAAATGCTTTCCATACAAGCAGGAGGACTGGAGTTCAGATCCCCAGCACCCATGCAAAAACCAAGCAGAGTGGCAAATGTCTGCACCTCCTCTGCTGGAGAGGTGGAGGCAGACAGATCTCAGGGGGCTCCTGGGCCAGCCAGTATAGGTGAAACAGCGGGTATGACATCCAACGAGAGAATCTGACACAAAAAGGAAAGTGGAGCAGGGTAGAGGAAAACACCTAACATCAATCTCGCTTCCACATGCACTAGCATGTGTGCATAAATACACTATACATAAACACACACACATACACACACAAGTCAGCTGTAATTAATATATTTTTATTTCTACATGCATTTCCTTTTTCATATGTACAGGATATAACATTCATGTTCACAGAGAATATAGAAAATATTAAAATGCAATAAAGTTCAATTTTAAATTCACAGATAATGCAAATTTATCTAAATTATAAATCAACTGTAGAAAATGTTCTTGTTTGATATTACACTGAGTAATATTTTTAGAAAATTTCTCACCTGTGATGAGAAATTTGAATCATTCTCTCGAGGTGAAGAATAGGAAACTCCTTGTGATTCCTGAAGTTTTTCTTTCAATTTTGCATTTTCTTGTTCTTTTTGAAACAGCTGATCCTGAAGATTAACAACACTTTCCCGGAGCATAGCTTCATTTGCTTTTGTGGTTTCAAAACAAATATGTAATTCATTATAAAGCTGTTTTAAAAACACAAAATGATATACATAATCAATAAACTAATTATGTGCATATATATTTTATATATGAACCATATATGGACATACACCTACCTCAAGTTATGTTAATAGCCAAAATATAGAAACAAAGAAAGACTAAGAGATACAGGTTGATGGTCAATATAAAACTAAAACTGCATTACAGAAAGGTAAAATGTAGTGCTGGCCAGGGTAACAGAAAAATTGTGTTAAATATCTAAGAAAGATGAAATAATCTAAACTAGCTATATTCATCTCACAGGGCTTCATGTTGAAAAGAAATATTAAATGAACAATGAAAATTTTAATAGAGTGGACCAAAATAAAAATCCATTCCAAAGCTCACAGAAATTAGAAAAGGACAGATAAGCACACAGTACATTTCACTGGGAACTATTTCAAGATTAACAGATTATACTGATTTCATTTAGTTTATCTACTTCTGAAGTGATGCAGAAGGAATAATAGGAGCCAAAGTCAATCAATGACAACATGCAGACTCTTCAACATCAGGACAATGGAGCGAGTCTACAGACACAGAGTTAGCAAACATCTTGAAATACAATAGCACAAAAGCAATGTTCTACACATGCAAGTAGATAACTTTAAAATTTTTTGATAACAAAATTTTTTAAATATTTTATTTATTATTTTTATTTTATGTGTATGCATGTATTGCCTGCAATGTAAGTAAGTGCACCCTTGTCATGCAATGCCCATGGAGGACAGAAGAGGCTCTCGGATCCCCTGGAACTGGAATTACAGACAGTTGTTAGCTGGCATGTGGCGCTGGGATTCAAACCTGGGTCTTCTGCGAGAAGAGTCAGTGTTCTTAACTGCTGAGCCATCTTTCCAGCCCCAACAACTTTAAATTTTTTAAGTCAAGAACAAACTGTGATACAGAACACACTGTTTAACTAGTGTCATACAGAAAGGAATATCCAGTTAACAACAGTATCCCTCCAATATTCAAGAATTTGCTTAGTAATGAAAATTCTAACTTATTTAACGTGACTTAATTCAATGGTGGTGTTGATTTACATGTAGAATCCAAATTTATATTTGCTACTGTTCTAGGAAAGTGATCCTAAGGCAAGGATTCTATTAAATAAAAAAGCTACTAGAGAAACTGCTGTCAGTTAAAGATATGGAATATATTCATTAATTGGCATATGCAAAAAAAATGAGTGTAAGTTTTTAATTAATCCTGTTAGCAAAAATGGCTCTATATTTCTGTATATATGTTATAATTTAAACTTTAAAGCTTAAAATTTCAAGAAAGGCTTGTGAATCCTCTTTCTTTAATGTGTTTTCATAAACACACAAATTTTCTCAAAAATAATACCACTGAAATCATTTTCTGAAACTCAGTCCTTTTGTATTCTATAAGAGATATTATTATAAAGATACTTAACTAATTTATTTCACTTTATAGCCAAAGCTAAGCAATTTTTAGAGTATATAGCATTTATAAAAAAAAATGTCAAAATACAGGATTATACTTTCTCTTATCATTGCCTTTATAGCAGGTACTATGCCCAATATACAGCTAACATTATCAGATATTCTACGAAGGAAAAGTAGGAATACTGAAAGCTTTCAAATGAAGTCAGAGGAAGCCCAATAACGATCTACCTATAGATACTTTCATGATTGGGTTCAGGGCAGAAAATAATAACAAAGCAAACTCCAGAGACAAGAGCCAAGTAGGAGGGGAAGTGCTGAAGTTAGCACAAGCGGTGGCACACCTTACTCTCAGATGTCACTGCTGCAGATCTCCCTTCATACAAAGACCTGGGTCTATTTAATCAAGAATAAAAATACAATAAAAAAACACTTCTGTATTAATCTCTTATCTCTCTTCTCATCCCCCACTCTTGCCTCATCAAACAAAAGAGCAACAGTATTCTTCTGTTCCCATTGTGACTTCTCAGTCACACTCCTATTCATAAGTTTCCCTGGTTTAAGCTGGTACGACTGGTCGGGTAACTCTAGACACTGGGACAAACCATGTTTTGCACTGAATATCTATACTCCCAATCAGCAAGGCAAAAAGATGTGAGAACTTCTGGAACAGATGATCTAGTCCAGCCTGGCTATAGAAAATGGGACAAAGTCATTTCTTAAATCTTATTCCAAATATATACCTCCTATGTGCTTCTTCTATTTGATGGGTGATTGGCCTTCACTCAACACCAGTAAGACTACTCAGTTGTTGACTTAGCGTACAGGAAGCAGGGAGAACCCCAGAGGCTATGTTTAATCTAGAACACAATCCACTAGTAAAATTTAGCTGAAACAAAATCCATCAGGATTGTCTATCTTTATTTCTAATGTGCTTTTTGATAGCAAAGCCTCAGGGTAATAAAATGTTTATTTTTCTTGAAGATGTTTCAAGAAGGAAAGAAGTTTAGATATTTCAGTACCTGGAAAGATACTGCCTCTCTACACTAGCAAGTGTCAAAAAAAAAGTATATATATATGTGTATTTTACACATATATATGTGTGTATATATTTCCCAGTATGTACATTAGGTAATAAAATGATCCATCTGCATTGCTTGTGGCATCCTGAGTTAGTACTTTTTCCTATATTAGCAATGAAAATTCCCTACAGCTCTCTTCAGAGAAGTTCTTTAGAATACATTTCGAAGAGACAGAGGAAGCTCACTGGGAACCAAGACAGGGGATACAGAACAGCTAAGAAGCATGGGTTAAAAGAAAAGCAACCTAGTCCATTACCTCAATCCTAGCCAGGAGTCGGGGAAGGACACAGATAAGTGGGCACAATGATGGGAAGAAATAGGGAAAGGAGAGTGGGGAGACTTTGAGAAGATCTGGACACAGACAAAATCCCCAAAGCTACAATTACAAGGTGAGGCAGGCAGGCTTGGTGACAGGGCTAGCAAAGCCTAGCAATCACACTTCTCAAAAGCATTAAATTCAGCATCGGGATTTGGTTTGACAGTGTCAAACTAACACCAAAAAAAAAAAAAAAAAATCATTCCATCTATTCCCATATTTCAGTGTTATGGTGAGGTTCCATTGTGAGAGAAGGCTTATTGTTTAAGATTGAGCTATTCTGGGGACCTAAAAAAAAGAACCAAACACAAGTGAGGAAGCCAGTGTCTCTGTGGGGTACGGCCACAAAAGGCAGTGTTATGGTGGGCAGCAGATGAACACAGACCTGCTGAGAATTAGCAATGAGCTCAAGCTGTGGTGGCTAGTGGGCCCACCCTCTATGACAAGAAGAAAGTTCCATTGCCTATGGGTTACTGTGAAGGCTGAGCTACAAGTCTGTGGTCAGCAGATCACTCAGCCTCTAGAGCTGCATCCCTGTCTTGTGTGTGGGTTGCTGTCACCAAGCAGATCTTAGAGCTCTGAACAAAATTTAGCATATGAGTGGATTATTCTAGCTTCCTTCTTCCCAGGGATGAGTTTACTGCTGAAGAAAGTCTAAAAGTGCTGAAAGCAACAAAGGGAAGGCCTCATTCCCTCAGCTCCCTCAGCTCTTCCTCGGTACCACAGAACTGTGTCTGTTTGCCCCTATCTTCTATCTCTCACCACACCTAGGGAGATACTAGACATTTGCTAACACTAAGGGCATAAACTAGAGGGCCTCTGGAGTAACTAGGAATCTGTCAGGTCCAAAAAAGCTCTTTGGGACCAGCATTGGCTCCCATCAAGCAAGGGGAAGCCTCTAAAGTGAATGTAGCTCTAGCTAACAGTATGTTATTGACTGCCCACCCAAAGCTGCATACAGTGTTACACTGTTACAGTGTTACAGTGGAAACGAAGAACTACCACAATCTCTAACTACCACCTGCTACTGCTCTAGATCTGGCAGCTACAACTAATAGAGAACTCAGAAGGAAGCTTCTCTGATACTTTGCCCATTTTAAAGATTCTTCCCATTACTTTTGTCTACTTTTATGCATATTTTTTCTTTATTCTATAATCATATTTTATCTTTTCCATTTTTATAATCCTCTCCCTTTATTCTTTTCTTTTTCTATAATCTTGCTTCATTCTTCTTTGCCTTTCCCAGCCAACTTCTTTATTTCATTATTTTATTATCATTACTTTTATCATACTAATTTTTCATCTAAATTAAACATTTTATTGTAAACTTTATTCTTTAGTGTACAGTAACTAAAAAATAGCAAGTTGCATTATGACATAGTCACACATAATGTGCTTTGATCATATTTCTCTCTCTTTTGTCCACATTCCTTTCCTCAAATAAATAAGAAAAAATGCACTATTTAATTTTGTTATTCAAATCTGGCTTATTTCTTTTCTCATGATAATCTCCAATTCAACCCATTTTTCTTAAAGTCATAAGATTTTCTTTTCATTGTGGTCGAATACAATCCTCACATACAAATGTATTCCAGATATGCCACATTTTTTCCTTTTTTTAAATTTTATATATAAGCATGTATTGCCTTCATGTACATGAGTGCAACCATGTCATGAAAAGCCCAAGGAAGACAGAAAAGGGAACTGGATCCCCTAGAACTGGAGTTATGGACAGTTGTTAGATGTCATGTAAGTGCTGGGATTCAAACCTGGGTCTTCTTCAACAACAGCCAGCTGTTCTTAAGCCCTGAGTCATCTCTCCAGCCCCACATTTTCTTTTTAAAATTTGGAAATTTATTGATTTTGTGTGAAATATGTTTGTGCTGGATAGCTTTAGTGTCAACTTGACACACCTGGGTTGAGGGAGCCTCAATTGGGGAATTGTCTCTATTGGACTGGCCTGTGGTCATGTCTGAGGGGCATCTTCTTGATGAGTGATGTGGGAGGGCCCAGGCCACCGTGGGTGGTGCCACCCCTGGGCAGGTGGACCTGTGTTGCATAAGAAAGCAGGCTGAGTAGGGGCCAGGGGAGCAAGTCAGTAAGCAGCATTCCTCCATGGCCTGTGCTCCAGCTCCTGCCTCCAGGTTCCTGCCCTGAGTTCCTACCTTGGGCTCCCTAATAAACTGTGACTCAGGAGATGTAAGCTGAATAAACCCTTTCCTCCTCAAGTTGGTCATGGTCAGAGTGTTTTGTCACAGCAATGGAGAAACTAGGACAGAAATTGGTACCAGAGAGTGGGGTATTGCTGTGTCAGACCTGACCCAGTTGTTTTTGGGAGGATTGTGGAAGTAGTTTGGAACTTTGGGCAGGAAAGCCACTGAGTGCTTAGAGAGTTTGTTGCTGTGGACCTTGAACAGTTATACTGAAAGAGTTGTGAACAATGGAGGCTTGGCTTGTGAAGCTTCAAAGGGAAGCAGAGATTATCAGGGCTGTTTCTGTAATGTTTTGAATTGAGAATCTGTGGGTTCTGGTTGGCTGGGGCTGAAGAACCAACTGTGATTAAGAAGAGACCAGAAACTGAAGTAAAACCTTTGCTTTACTGGGACAATTGATGCTGGTTAGCTGGGGCTGAAAAATTGGCTGTAACAATAGACCAGCATCACTGTGGTGAAATCTTCTGGGAGGTATTTCCTCAGGGTCAGCACACATAGGTGACCCAAACCTCCATCTCTAGCTGGAAGCAGGACTTGGTAATGTGTAAGAGTCTCCTGCATGGTTCTGGTGTTGAAAATGTGAAGGGGTCACAGAGAGCAGCTGAAGCTTGGCACTCTGAGAGGCCAGGAAAGGCCATAGGTGAAAGTGCAGCTTCAGTTGCAGTGAAGATCCCAGGACTGAAGGGGTCATGGAGAGAATCTGAGGCGTTGCATCATGAGAGGCCAGAAGAGGCCATTGGTGAGGGTGCAGCCTCAGTTTCAGTGGAGACCCCAGCTATTTGGAGATGCCAGGACCATGGGATGACCACCAAGGACAGCAGTAGGTGTGGAATGGAGTTGGGTTGGATCTGCAAGACGATCTATGTGTGCTGTGGACTGCAGAGTCAGTCCAGCTACTTTGCTTGACTTTGGTTTTGCTTAGGTGTGCCCAAGTCTTCCTTTTAAAATAAGACTGTACTTGTTTGGATTTTACAGATGCCCACCCACAGTTAAGAGACTTTTAAAAGAGACTACGGATTTTTAAGTGTTTGGATTTCTTAAGGACTGTGGGGTTCTTAAGGTTGTACTGTCTTATGTTGTGATACTAATGTTAACATCATATCTTGGGGACAAGAATTGGAAAGGTTATGGTTTGATAGTGATGTATTTGTATGTCAAGTTGACAAGGGGTCAAATGTGCTGGATAGCTTTAGTGTTAACTTGACACACCTGGGATGAGGGAGCCTCAGTTGGGGAATTTCCTCTATTGGATTGGCCTGTGGCCATGTCTGAAGGGCATCTTCTTGATGAGTGATGTGGGAGGGCCCAGCCCACTGTGGGTGGTGCCACCCCTGGGCAGGTGGGCCTGTGTTGCATAAGAAAGCAGGCTGAGCAGGGGCCGGGGGAGCAAGCCTGTAAGCAGCGATCCTCCATGGCCTGTGCTCCAGCTCCTGCTTCTAGGTTCCCATCCTGAGTTCCTACCTTGGGCTCCCTAATGAACTGTGACCCAAGAGAAGTAAGCTAAATAAACCCTTTCCTCCTCCAGCTGGTAGTGGTCAGAGTGTTTTCTCTGGAAATGGAGAAAGAAATTAGGATAATATTCTTTCACCAAAAATAATGTAATAAAATTTTAATAATAATGGTTAACTTCTATATCACAAAATTTTTTGTCATTTTAAAGGGTTATTAAGGGCTGGCACTATAGCTTAGTTGTAGCATGCCTGGGTTTGATCCCTCAGATCTCAATTTATTTTTAATTTATTTATACTTATTTTATGTGTATGAGTGTTTTGTGTACGTGTGTGTGTGTGTGTGTGTGTGTGTGTGTGTGTGTACCAGGTATGTACAGTGCTTGTGGAGGCCAGAAGAGGGTCTCAGATCCCCTGGAACTGGAGTTGAGGACAGTTGTTAGCCACCATGTGGATGCTGGGAACTGAATGTGGGTCCTCTCCAAGAACAATCAGGGCTCATAACTGCTGAGCCATCTCTCTAGTCCCTCACATCTCAAAATTTTAAAAAATTTTCAAAGATTATAAATATTAGGCTAGGATATAGGTAAATGAAAGAGCATTTTCTCAGCATATACAAGGCCTGGGTTTAATATCCAGCATCACACAAAATAATTAATTAAAAAATTATGGGAGGTCAGGCATGGCGGCACATGCCTTTAATCCCACCACTGGTGAGGCAGAAGCAGGTGAATCTCTGTGAATTAGAAGGCAGCCTGTTCTACAAAGCAAGTTCCAGGAAAGCCTTAGTGAGACAAACAAAACGAAGTCTGGGGAAGAGCTTTCAGAAACTATAAGCAAGTCCTAACAACTTGAAGTTAAAGAATGCCTTGTATGCTCAACAAACAAAAACACAGGAATATACCTGAAGTAGAATAAATAGAGAAGGTATATCAACTAGGTGACTTGGAACCAAGCAAGTAGGGTCTCACAGGTTATAAGAATGTAAGACTTTTATTTTAATAAGGCAAGAACACAGAGGGACTTGAAGAATGGAGTAAACTAATCTGACTTGCTCAGTTTTATCCTGGCAGCTGTGTTGCGAGTGGACTCAAGGGTCCAGTTCTTACATGAAAACGGCATAAACAGAAGGTGGCAGGAAGGGTGGCTGAAGCGGAACTCTAGACATAACAGTGAAAACAAACAAGTGAATCGTTAGTTTTGAATATATCAACTGTAAGATTGCATTAAGCTCCTGAGAAATGGGAGTGCTGATTGAGCAACAGGATATTCTCCTTATTGGATTTCAGGGAATATATTTGGTAAAAATAAATTTGGGAGTCCCTTATATGTAGATAGCATGATTCTGATCCAGTTAAATCACCAAGGGTATGAGTTTAAATGTCAAAAAGAAAAGATCCCAAGTCTGGGTTAGTGACCCTGTAATATCTACAGAAAAAAAAAAAAAAAAACTCAGAAGGATCAGAAAAAAAATCAAAATGAACAGCTTGAAACTAGAAGAAAAAGTAGGAAGTTAAGAATTTTTAACAAGTGTGTCAGGAGATGGCCATCAACAGTGACAAAAGTTCAGAGAAAATTTGCACTTCATTTTAGCAATGGAGCCTGGATTAGAAACATCACACAAACAATGCGTGTCTGAATATTAAACAGACTATAAGAGGACAGTTGCCACCCTCTTGTCTGGTATCACTCCCATCCTTAGGAAAACTGGAAGGGAATACAGTTGAAAACCACTATTTCATAAATCACTCAAAACTCTGTTTGAGGGTCAGTGAAACGACTCAGGGGATTACAGGCACTTGCCACCAACTTGATGACCTAGTTGAATCAACAGGACCCACATAAGGAAAGAAAAAAACTGACTCCTGCAAGTTGTCCTCTGACCTACACACACATACTGGAACATACACATTCCCCTACTCTAATAAATAAAGTAAGTTCTTTTTTACGTTTGACATTTTCCTTAGTACATACATTTTTTAAAAGTATTTATTATTTTTTTATTTTACATGTATGAGTGTATTGCCTGCATGGGTGCAAATGTACCTGTGTTGTGCAATGCCCATAGAAGTCAGAAGAGGGCATCGAATTCCTCTGGAATTGGAGTTACGGAAGGCTGTTAGCCACTATGTGGGTGCTGGGAATCAAACCTAGGTCTTCTGCAAGAGCAGCCAGTGCTCTTATCTGCTAAGCCATCTCTCTAGCCCCCTTGAAGTTTTCTTTTAAAAGTTATTTTGCACTAACTGTAGAAATTGGATCTTTTATGGTGCTTTTTTAAAAAAATCTTTTTCTAATTTATTTATTCATTTTTATTTTGTGTGTATGCGTGTATTGCCTGCATGTAGGTAAGTGCACCTGTGTTGTGCAATGCCTGCAGAAGTCTGACAAGGCTGTCAAATCCCCTGGGACTAGAGTTACAGACAGTTGTTAGCTGCCATGTGGGTGCTGGGATTCGAACCCGGATCTTCCGCAAAAACAACCAGTGTTCTTAACCGCTGAGCCATCTCTCCAGCCCCTTATTGATGCTTTTTTTAAGAAAAGAGATTTTAAGAAGTTCTAAAATTTTGGGTATTAAATGGACTGTACTAGTTAACCACCTCACCAATTTCAGCCATGAAAGAGGAAGAACATTACTCTCATAGTGTTATTTGTATAAATAACCTAGTATATTGTACCAAATATATGTATAGAACTACCAGGGGTTTCTTTAAAAACTAGTGCTATTGATGCTGAGTCAGCATAACTAAATAACTCCTTCTTGTGGGGCTCCAAAAGCAACTAAAGTAAAATGAATATTAAAAAACACATAAAATAAGAGAAAAACCTTTGATAATTAATGATCTTGAAGAACGCATCAGCATTCTGCTTAGTGTTCATGCACACTGGGTAATAAAATAATGCACAAATTTTACAGTGAGGTCTTTTTGATAAAAAATCGGTCATACACTACAATCATATAGATCTAATAATTTAGTATACTGTAAGGCTGAGAAATTCTGCTCCCCAAAGTTTTTCCAGTTTAGGAAATTATAGACCTAGTATATTTTACAATAGAAATAAAGATTCCAATTTACAGAATAAATAATCTGTGGAATTTACAAATTTATACCTATATTCTCAATGATTCCAATAAAAAACTCAAAACTCTATATATTATCAATTTGAATCATATATTTCCCTTTTAATTTGGAAGCAATTAATTTGAATATGTATAAAGGGTATAATAATACTAAACACTAAATTACTAAAAAAATTGAAATCTTTTATTTTCCTATGTTCATTTATAAATTCATATATTTACTATACAATAACAGCATACTTTGTGATATGATATACTTTCAGCTGTGTGAACATCTTCCTGATTTTTCAGTACTTTTTGTGTATCCATATTGAGAACCTGAAGCTGCTGGATCAGCTCTGCTTGCTGTACTGTGTGCACACTGTTCTGTTTGTAAAGATTCTGCAGCTCCTGCAATTCTTTCCTGTGCAAAGCAAGCAATAAATAGAGAGAAAGCATAAATAAAGATAATCTCAGTTAAATAATTGTGGCCATCTAAGAGTATAGATTGTCTTCCTATTTTTCATCTATTATTTTTATGGCAGGCAAACTTATTAATAAATGAAATAATACATAAAGTATTTAACACTTATGACATACACCTAGAAGGTATTGATAGAACTACTATGATTTTCAAAGGCAAATACTTATCAATTTTCTTTTATGGCTTGATAGCAATAAAAACTCAGGATATATAGTCATAGGACCACCTTCTCATTGAAATTAACACTTCAGCTCTAAGAACTGATAAGCAATGATCCTAATTATAGCTATAGTTTTGAATATAGTTTAAGTCAAACATTCATTATACATACTATAGAATTTCAAATATGATAGAACTGATGCCAAAAGGCAATTAAAGTTTTTAAACCAACAGGTGACTCTGGAGAAGATGTTAAAGATGATAACGCAACAAAGCATGAAGGAAGGAAAACATCACTAAGGAACCCAGTTCTTGCTACCACCCAGACAGAACACTGGTGAGTGGGCGGACAAATGATCTAGTGGGAGTATTCTGGCACTAAGGACCCAGGAGAACCCACAGCTCTGGGCTAGAGGCTTCCAGATTCCTATAGTAGAAAGTCTTGTGTGACATGAATCATATAAAACTAGAAATTATTTGGATATTCTATTTAAACAGAAAAAAATATTTACAGAGGCATATATCATGAAAGCATCTGGTTTTTTGTATTCTGGATATTTTAAGTAGCATTTTTCTTTATAGCTTAAAACTAGTGATTCATATACATGAAACAAATTTAAAAGGAAGAAAGCAAAAGAGATACATAAAATATTTGCTGAAGATATAAAGATATAGGGAACATAAGTTCTGCATTTTAATCATTGAAGACAATGTTTTCAGCCAGATTTTTTAAATTTGAGACTCATATATGTGAGTGCACTGGTATTTAATCACTTTCATACACACAACCTCCAAACTCCCCATTGTTCTTTTCAGGTCTCCCCAAAAACCCTCTTTCAAATTCATGACCTCTTCTATAGTTATTTTACACACACACACACACACACACACACACACACACACACACATACACACACACACGGGTTGCCCTTTTGCAAGTGTTTAAGGCTGACCATTTAGGATTGGGGTGTCATGCCTGGAAAAAAAAAAGAGCCAGGAGTGGTGGCACACACGCCTTTAATCCCAGCACTTGGGAGGCAGAGGCAGGTGGATCTCTGGGAGTTCGAGGCCAGCCTGGTCTACATAGTGAGTTCCAGGACAGCTGGGGCTACAGGGAGACCCTGTCTCAAAAAGACCAAAAAAAAAAAAAAAAAAAAAAAGAAAAGAAAAAAACAGAATAAAACAAATGAGCAAACAAACTGGTTCTACTTCCCTCAGCAGCTACTGACTGCTTGTAGCAAATCATCTAGGGGTGACTGTGAAATTTTCCTACATCCACATTGGATGGTTGACAGGTGTGGTCTTTGAAGGTTTTAGGCAGATAACTATAATACTGAGAGTTCATGGGAACAACATCCCTGCCCTGTCCAGAAGAAACTATCATACAGCAGTCATTGGGTTCCTCAGGCTCTTAGAAGTATTTGGTTCCCTCTTCCATGGTGTCCCTAAGCCTTGGGTGTGGGAGGTTAAGTTATAGGTGTCCCATTTGTGGCTGGGCACCACGACAGCCATGTAGTCTGGTGAAATGCTAGAGATGCACTTATCTATGGGTATAAGGATGAATGTTTAAAAGGCAATTGAATAGTATATTACTTTAGCAATATGGTAGTAGTAGCAGGTTTTCCCTAGGGCCTATGACCTTTCCATCCATGGGACTTTGGATTGGATTACAAAATGAGGCATGAGTTCATTCCAACTGACTAGGTTTCTGGTCTAATTAGACCATTGCTTGTCCCCAAGATACAAGTGCCACTCTTGCATGGTTGGGGCTATTTTTTCATTTTTGACAGACATACTTCATAGGCTTTAGAGCTAGGTAGGGCTGATGACTGCTTTTCTTCCTTGAAAAGAAAGAGCTTGCATAGCTCTTTCCAACGCAATAAGAGCTTGCCCTCAGGAAGGTTTCCAAGTTGGTATCAGCTTCATTTCTCCAAAACTTATGACTGAAGTGTGTGGTATCTTCAGCAATAGGGTCTTACCTTGATGATCTGGCAGAAAAACAAGAGCAAGGACAATAACCTACATTGTTTTGGGGATCTCTTCAGCCCCTGACCAACAAATTGAATGGAGGTACATGCTACTCAGCACTGAGGTTTTGTTAGTTTACGGCTCATGGGGATGGGGGAGCACATCATTCCACCAAGCATAGTAACTGCATTAAAACTCTATGTGTGTATTAGCTGTATATTTCAGTAAACTTATAAAACAATAGGTTTCCATGTGGGTTTTTTGTCCTTCCTTCTTCCCTCTACCCCTGAGTTATTCTGGCTTCCCTCCTACCCCCCAGTTAAGTTCCTGTCCATTTTCCCCTTTTCTTCTCCACAGCACATATGTCCCATATTTGAGAGTGTCTTTTCTTATCCTCAAGGCTCCTTTTCTACTTTCCTGCCTACTG